ACCAGGTGACCAACGTGGTTGCCATCAAGCTTACATGCCTGCTCATGTGTTTCCTTTGAGTTTCAGTCTTGGAGGGGGGGTTGTCCTGAAGAGACTTGATTGCTTGTCTTGATGGTTCCCCAGCGAACAACTTGCTTGTTCTTGTAGTAGCCAGTCAGACTGTGTATAGTTGGCTTTTTAAAACAGTAAATTTATAGTGTTTCTATAATTAGAAAAAAAGTTTTTTTTAAAAAGTGTCATCTTTCATATAGCTAGTTTTTATCCATTCCTTTCATGTTCTCAGTATCTTCCTCACTTATTCTCCACTTAACAAGCAGCAAATAAAATAAAATCTAACCCACTGTCACTGAGTCAATTCTGACTCATAGTGACCCTTTACAGGGTTCCCAGGGAGTCTGATGCGGTATTAGGAGTTAATGCACTGGACTGTAAAATCAGTTTGAACCATAAGATTGGCAGTTCAAGCTCACCAGCCGCTCCTTGGAAACCCTATATAGTATCGCTATGGGACAGGATTGGCTCAACGGTACTTAACAACAACAACATAGGGTTCTTAATGGCTGTAAATATTTATGAGAGCAGAAACCTTATCTTTCTTCTGAGAAGCAGCTTGTAGGTTTGAACTGTTGGTCTTGCATAATCAAATGGAACAGCAGAAAAGCAAAACAACAAAATAGCTTTTGTGTGTATGGGGGGTACATGATAAGCTAGTTTATTGCCTGAAGGTCAGTGTTGTGTTTTCTGTTACTTGTTTTTGCATCTTAGTTATTTATGTAACTAATTAAAAAACTAGTTATTTTGACAGGATCAATACTAGCATAGGAATAATATCATACCTGACTTATTTGATTTTCAAAAATTGTAACTTCTCCCCAGATGACATAATAGTAGTGGAATCCGGCCATGGAGGTGGAATCACTCTCTTTTCAACATTAACAGATAGTAATGGGCCATGTCAATTTGAGAAGAGGTCATGTTCGTGGGTGGTCCAGTCAACATTGCTCAACTGCTAACTGAAACCTTGGGAATTTGAGCTCAACCAGACGCGCCTGGGTAGAAAGGCTTGGTAATCTACTTTTGAAAAATCGTCCTTGAAAACCCTGTGGAGCACAGTTCTTTCTATTCTGACACACCTGGGGTTGTCCTGGATCAGAACCAACTGGAAGGCATCTGGGTAAAGAGGAGGCGAGAGCTTGGAGAGGCAAGACCTATCGAGGAGCAGTCTTAGCTAAGGCCCAAGCCTTGGGATGCTATGCCTGCTCTCCGTTGGTGTGCGTTATGCAGACCCTACTGGCAGACTCTTCAGAAGCTTACTTTCTCAATTGACTTTCATATGGCTCTTTGGCTCCAAGTGTGTTTTTCCAAAGGTCACATCTACTTGAGTCAAATAGAAGAAGCTGCATATAAATTACTTGCATGTTTGAAGAAAGTATAGTCTAATCTCAGGTGATTTACAAAGTAAAAGTTCATTCATCTTTAATGTGGTCATTTCTTACTGGGTTTTTCTTTACATGATTTCTTTGCACTTAATTCACTGTTATGAGACCATATCCTGAAAGCCAGAAAAAAAGAACAAGTGTATACATGTAAAGCTAAACCAAGGCTAAAAGAAGAGGAAAGAAGTACACGTGTGGTTGCTGGCCTGTAGATAGCTGCCCCATTTCACTCCTTACTGCCATTGGGCTCCAGTGTATTCCTGATTGGAAAGGGTTCCTTCCAGGTCCTCCATGGTTGGGTGGTGGAGATTTTAGGACCTTGAGCTGGATTCTTTTGAATCCTTGCCCACTTCCCTTATAATATCTCTGTTTCTGTTCCCACTCCTCTTTCTGAAGGTACTATTTCTTTTCCAGCATCAGGTTTTGCAGTTAAGCAATTACTAGACTGTAAGAAGCATAGTGGTTATAAATCGGGCTGTGAACCTTAAGGTCAGTGGTTCGAAACTACCAGCCGCTCCGCGGGAGAAAGATGAGGCTTTCTACTCCCGTAAAGATTTATACCCTTGGAAACCCTGTACAGGGTTGCTATGGGTTGGAACCGACTCGACGGCACTTAACAACAACAACAACAACAACAAGAAACAACTACTTTGTCAAAAGTAAAATGGTAGCAAAACCTAGTATCCACAATGTTATGTGCTGTGGAAATAGTTGTAGTCAGGTGCCGTCAAGTAGTTCTGACTCAGAAATAGATAATGTCTAATGTGAGTGATCTTTTTTTCCCCCTCTTCTGCTTACTTTTCCTAATGTGTGTGTAGATGTATGTTTAATTGATTGGATCAACATTTAGCTTATGTGTAACAAAATACTCTATATATTCTAACATCTAAACTCTGAATTCTTCAAGGACTGCTTTGATCACTCTACCATCAAATTCTGATTTGCTGTTTTTAGTTACCATCAAGTCAGCTCGAAGTCATGGTGACTTTACGTCTAATAAAACCAGTGCCCTCTCTTGTACCATTCTCAGAATCACTGGTGTGACTGAGCCCACTGCTGCAGCCATTGTTATCAATTCATCTCATTGAGGTTTCCCTCTATCAACCAAGATGCTTTTTCCTAGAGAATGTTTTTTCTTGTACAGAGTAAGGGAGTCAAAGTCTTGCCATTCTCACTTTTAAGGCACATGCTGACTGTGCTTCCTCCAAGATGGTTCAAATTCTTATTAGATGTATCATTTATACCTCTCATTGTACTAAGCACTGGATAATGTACTGAAGACAGCAGCTTCCCTATCCCCACCCAAAGATCTCTGGACTGACTTTGAAAGTTGGACATGAAGCAAATAATTTTAAATTAGCTCTTTAGGATTATTTTTAAAGCCTCAAGAGTAGTGAGTACTGTTCTAGGGGCATCTGTCCTGGCCCAGGGCAGGTGGGAGACAAAAGACTGAGGCTGAAGGAAGGAAGAAGCCAGTGGATAGGCTCAGGGAGGCACATTTGAGGCAGAAGGAAACACTCTCCAAGTAACAGAGATGTGAGTGACTCAAGAGAGCTGGAAATTCCCAAGTAGAGGAGTATCATGAGCAGAGAGGAGGGGCCCAGGCAGGGAGACCAAGGAGGAGACACAGCTAGATCATTTCCGACTCTGTGTACATGCTGTCTGTTTGATGACGTAAACCAGATAAATGAGTGGGTGGATTTTAGCCAAAAAGAAGCATGAGACCATAAAAGCAAGGGACTACCCATTGTAGAGAATGTGTTTGAAGGAGCAAACGTGGATATGGGAGACAAGACAGGGGTGACTGAGCACAGTGGGTGAAAGGCAGGAGATAGTGGGCATGATGCAAGTATTAGAATGGATGAGAAGTAAATGAATTCTAGCTCTGTTGGGAATTAGGATCATAAAAACTCTCCACATTTGGGTGATGAAGAGGAAGAGGTAGGTGAGAAGAGAGATGAGCAGGTGGATCTCTAAGTTCCTGAGGGGTGTTCTTTGTGGATGGAGGAACCATTACTAAGTCTGGGCTTTGGGAAGAAGATCAGGTGTGAGGATTAAGATCCTGAGTTCCTTTTGGACTCTGAGGTGGCTGTGGAGTTCAAACAAAAGCTCTGAGCTGCAATAGAACATTTGGAGTTATCAATGTTCAAATAGTAATTGAGGGTGTGGGCAGGCATGTGAGCTCCTAGTGCAAATCTGTGAGCACCTAAGGACCTACTAAGGACCCCTGGTGGCACAGTGGGTTAAGTGGTCGACTGTTAACCTCAAGGTTAGGATTTCAAATCTGTCAACTGCTCCACAGGAGAAAGATAGGGATGTCTGATCCCATACAATTTACTATCTCAAAAGACGCTAAGGAGCAGTTCTGCTCTGCCCCAATAGGGTTGGGGTCAGTTGGAATAAACTCAATGGCAGTGGGTTTGGGTTTCACTGGTATGCTAATCTCAAGGTCAGAGGTTCAAACCCACCAGCTGCTCCTTAGAAACCCTATACAAAGTCGGTATGAATCAGAACCACTCGGCAGCTCTTAACAACTTCAGCATGGAAATGGTGAGTGAGGAAGGGCCTGTACAGTTGGGAAACTGGGGGCTATGGCAGAGAAAGAGTCCTCAAGGAGGGAGTGCTGCTAAGTGTCCACTAGTATGTGAAGCCAAGCAGCACCCAACGTGGTAGTCCTCCACATAAAGCGGGATACTGATGGGTGTGTGGGGGGGGTTCTCTCTCTCTCCCCCTGTGCAGGTCTTCATGCACCCAGAATGCAAGCTTGCTACTTGCTTTTTTACACAAATTCATTTGTCAGCAAAACTTTGGGTTTCACTGGAGTTTGGAAATGCTGACTTCATATATTCCCTTCTCCTGGAAAAAAGACCATATTGATTATATCTGTGGAGATTTCAACTCCAGAGGTTATAAGTTCAAAATAAAGGCCCCTGTGTCAAAGTGATTGTCTGGTACCAGCATTTTATCTGGGCTAGCATCTCACAGTTCAAGTCCTTTGTGCTAATCTTGGACAGGTTTCTCTGAACTGCTGCTGGGTGGAGGGTAGGGTGGGAGGCCCTGATTCCAAACGGACTGATACACAGGTTGTCAGAGATTGATCATACTGGATACAACTGTCTGAGCCAGTAAAGGCTCTGTGATAAAGTTGGTGATATTGCAGCTCCATTTACGCCCATCTGGTTGAGGGGATTTTGTGAATGGAACATATCTGAGGATGTTTTTTAGGGAGTTTTTTCTCAGAGCATGGAGGTAAAAGAACTTCATGCCCTAGCTTCCTGAAGAAGAAAAACAATATATCTATATCTATATCTCCATGGTTCTGTCTAAAGTCTACATTTAAACATCAAAATCAGATTACCTATGGCATAAAATAATGTTGCTTGCTAGATTTTACCCATTTACTAAAATAAGTAGGATTTTTGTGTTTTGTTTTACCCATTTACAAGTCAGCTGGTTAAGACAGGTTCCTTGGTGTGGGCGGGGGGAACATGGTTTGTTGTGTGGGTAATGTCACTGATTTTACTTGCTTGGGATACACGCTGAGTTAACCTCGTTGGACTTTTCCCCAGGAATTGATGCGTGTACACGCGGTGGGTCATTATGCTGCTGCACCTGTGTAGTGTGAAGGTCAGTGTGTTTTTCTGATTATAAGAAACCATCCATGTCATTCCATTATAAACCACTCCACTCATAATGGAATGTGCCTCCTCCCAGAGCCTGTGGCAGTTGTCCCAACCCAGGAATAAGCTCAAGGGCAGCCTGACATTTAAGATCCATCCACTGACCCTCCTCCACCACCTGCATCTACCCCAGAATCCAACTATGCTTCATTTTTGAGATGATGTTCTTTGCATGTTGAGACTCTCTTGTGTGATGTGAATGTACAGTTGTCACAAGTGAATTTGTACCTGGAAACACACTGATGGTTTGAGACTTTACAACCATGTGGTGCATTTGATGAAATGAGTCTCAAACCAGATAAAATAAATGGGTGGATTTTAGCTAAAAGATAGTGTGAGGTCACTAAAACCAGAAGTACTACGTTAGATTTATCTTTGTAAAAAATGTGTTCTATCCATTGTAAGTAGTGTATTTTGAGAGAGCAAAAATATAGGAAGACCAGTTATGGTTAATTGAGTTGAGAGGGAGTTGGGCAGAAGTTGGGTAGTCCATGGACACTTACATTACAGATAATATGGATGCACCAGACAAAATCTACAGTGTCTTCCCTGAGCTCACCTGATTCCACCCTGGCTGGTCATTTGGCTGATAATTCAGTAGAATCAGTCTCTGCAGCTGAGCTGGCTCTCCCTCCGAGTGTCGTCCACACTCAGACTTCCCTCAAAGTACTTATTTCCTATATTTCAGTATTACAAGCATTTCAGTGGCCACCCTGGTTTACAATAATCACCACGGACGCTGATTGACACTAACTATGTGTCATGATTTCTGTTGAACGCTTTTCATGTGTGAGTTTCGTTCTACTCACAAGAATCTTAAGAAGTAGATAACAATCCTTGTTTTCCTTTCTTCTACAAGAAAAAAGGAGTCATAAAGGATTAAATTAAGTATTAAAATAAGATTAAATTAAATTAAGAATAAGATTAAATAAAGTAAGGAAATGAGGAGCGGGGCATTTAAGAAGGTCTAGCTCTGGTAGCGTAGTGGTTACGAATTGGGCTGTGAACTGGAAGGTCAACAGTTCGAAACTACCAGCTGGTCCGCGGGAGAAAGATGAGGCGATCTGCTCCCGTAAAGATTTACAGCCTCGGAAACCCTATTCAGGGTCGTTATGGGTCAAAACCGACTCGACGGCACTTAACAACAACAACAACAAGCGGGTGTTCTAATCTTCTGGGTTCTTGATAAGACTACTTGGCCAATTCTTATATAAGCCTTTCGTTTCAAAAAGAAATGAAATCTTACATTTGCATATTGTTGTTAAATACCTTCGAGTAGATTCTGACCCATAGCAACTCTATATAGGGTTTCTGAAGAGTGGATGGTGAGCTTGAACCATCAACCATTCAGTTCAAACTGACTTTGCAGTCCAGCACATCAACCCATAGCATGGTGGTGGTGGTAGTAATGTGCTGTGGAGTTGGTTCCGACTCATAGCGACCCTGTATAGGGTTTCTGAGGCTGTAAATCTTTATGGGAACAGAAAGCCTCATCTTTCTCCTGTGGAACAGCTGGTAGTTTCAAACTGCTGACCTTGCACTTGGCAAATGTACTAAGCACATCCACATACCTATTCAGCCAATGCTTGAAAAGGCCAGTGATGAGGAGATGGGAGCCTGGGATTTTAAGTGAGCATCTTGTTGCTCATCACCTGGCAGTTGAGAGAGGGAGCACCCAGACTCAGGTGGTCTCTTCCATGAAACATTGCTTCCCACTCACATAGAGGATAACTAGCTTCATTAGTAAATTCTGAGTCAGACACTTTGAGAATAAGCCCAGTATGTGCAGTGTTCAGGGAAGCATTAAAATAGTGCTTTCTCATGTGCTGCCAAATATCCACGAACAGTCATTGTTCAATGACTTCAGATTTCTACTTCTTTCTCTGGTTAGGGAATATCTGTCATTTGTAACGCATTTAGAAAATCCTCTGCTGCCCTCCACTCCTCCACTCCAAGCTGTAGTAACATATTTGCAGCATCAGAGTTCAGTAGGGGTTTTATTTCTCCCAAGTTCTCTCAGCTGCTCCAACCTCTGGTCTTCCTCCTTTGGGGAAGGTGGAATCCTGGCTGGAGCAAACAGTTAAAAACTTGGGCTACAGAACTGCAAGACTGACCATTGGAAGCCACCCAGAGGACCTCAGAAGAATAGGTCTGGAGATGGACTTTTGAAAAAGCAGCCATTGAAAATCCTATGAAGCATCAGCTCTAGTCTGACTTCGATGAGGTTGCCATCCACGGCAATCCCTTTTACTCAAGGAAAGTTGCCGTTTCCAAAGCACAGCCCTCTAGTTTGTTTCCCTTCCCCTTGGACTTTGGTGTTTTTCCTTCATCTGTGAAGATTTCATGCGTGAAAAGTCTTCAGAATACCAGATATTTCTCCTTTGGGTACATTTGGTCCCCCTTCTTTCTGGGACTGGTACCTGTAGGAAGTTAGGGCTTCCGTGTCCTAGGGAATGTTGGCTCACACAATCTTGAAACACAACCTTTGCCTTGAAAGAAAACTCTTTGAATCTAACAGCAGGGTTAAATGGGTGCACAGAGAAGTACAGGAAATTTTTCTCGGTGACGCCAGAAGCACAGTGTCCTAGTTGTCTCACTGACACTTATGCCATTGAGATTTTCCAGCTAACTGAAGTTGGGATTAAACTGATGATTCCTAAGGACTTTGGCTTGTGAAATGGGAGCATAACCACAGCCTCTGCACAACAATTACATCTGAAGCCTGAAGGGACAGGTTTCAGCAAGCCTCTTTGCAGTTTCCATGGGAGATAAATGCTAAGTGGTTTGGGACTAGTCTCTATGATACCTTCTAAAAAGGTGCATGAACCATGTTCGGAGATGGGTTTGCACGATCACTAGCTAGACTTTTGTAAGTATCTGGAGATAAAATAGGGACCATTTCATTGATCATATGAAGTACACTTTGTAGCTTCTGGAATGTTCCTCAGCAAGATGAATGCTTGTATCCAAAAGAAGCTCAATCAGCAGGAATTTGGTGCTGAAACCAATGAATCTCAGCCCAGAGGTTCATCTCAAAACCTCCATTTATGCCTTTGCCTGTGGATCCCAGGCATTTGCATGATGAACAGATCTCAGGGAGTGATTCTTATTGTGTTCCATGGCTAAAAGTGATGAGAATCAAGCCTCTAGGTGACTATGACTAAGGCAATTGAATAAACAGATAAAAATCTACCTGCATGTCTAATGCCACAAAGGCAAGAATTTTATAACTCAAAGGTTGGCTTCCTGAAGCCTGTCCTTTTAGGGGAAAAAATAGCGCCAATGCATTAGAACTTCTAGCATCTCTGTATCTGTTGGATCCTCTTGGAAGCAGAGGCTGTGAGTATGAAAGAGAGAGAGAGGAAGTAAAATGGTGCAGTGGGTGAGCCTGACAGAATCACTCCTAACCCTGTACTCCCAGCTCAGTCTGTGGCTCAAATGCCCTAAGAAGACCATGATGACTTCACCTCAGAAACAAAGGCAGGCCTGAAGGAGTCAACAGCCAGAAGCTACCCAGGAGCCACCCACGTTCCTCTGGTTGCTCAACAGGTTCTTTCTGCAAATGGCCTCTAAACTGCACATCCCAAATCTGCCACAATCTCCAGAGACTTGTCATCAGTTCTTCTGGGCCTTTCAGAGTTTAGTCAGAAAGATCTGGAGTAGGGGCAAATGCCAGGGTCTAATCCTTTATGGAAATTGTCTCCTTTGTATGGAGAGAAGAGGGATTAACTTTTGAGTACCTTCTCTATGAAGGTGCTCTTTGTTTTGAATACATAACTTGACCTTTTATTTCAAAGTAAGTGCTTTTAGAGGCAGTTCTTTAAACACATGTACTTTTACACTTAAAGGGAAATTTATTAGTCTATTTTGTACTCAACCCTAGAAAGGGAGATGTGTGGTGGGGGTTGGGGAGGTGGGGACAGAGAGAAAAGCATGCTTATTTGATTTCTTTCTGCATCATGGCATGTATTAGGTAGCCATACTTGGAAGAATAAGACACCTTAAAAATCTTGTCATGTAGAAAGCAACACCCCCAGACAGGTTGGGTTTCTTCCAGATCACAGAGAAAGCAGGAGATGCAGCTGCCCGTTCATGCATTTATACCTCTATGGATACAGACTGTTCCTTCTCAGTCTATTCCCTTTGCTCGGAAACTGTATTATGCAGGAACTCTTCTGGACTCGTACCTTTTGTGGTTTTGCTTAAGTCTTCAAAATAGAAAACATTCCAAAATTTCCTACACCTTCCCCCAACCTCACCCTTCTGCTTAGAGAAGGCATTAGGAGACAGTGGTGTGGCTCCTTGAATGGGTGAAGCCCACAGCCAGCTCCCCTCAACATGCACATGAAACATCTCGCATGTAGAGTCTCCCGGGCATAAAGTGACAGTCAGAAGCCATTGTTCAACCCCATAATTTATCATCCTAACACCAAGAGAAAATCAGCAGCTCATAATTCATTCTCTATGTTTACAGAGATGGGAGGAGCCTGTTGGGTACAAGCAGTTTACAGTCAATTTCAAATTTAGAAGTTGGTGGTGTTCAAACTCACACAGCAACACTGAGGGAAAGCCTGGGGAACTGCTTCCCTAAAGATCACATGTACACATGGGTTGCCAGGAGACAGAGGCCAACTTGACGGCAGCTGACAACAACATTGAGTTGCAATTCATTTGGATGGATGAGTGCTGCCCTGTTCATGCTCTTCTCTCTCCTCCACATGTTCCTCCTGTTTCTTTTGTTTTGGCTTCCCAAATTTGAATTAACTCTCCTGTAACCACTACTGAAGAGGCAGGCATTATCTCCCCTGCATGTGAAGCCCACTGAGCTAGGAACCACCGGGCCACCCCTTTATTGCCTGGAACATTGAAGGGGTCTGTCCGGAGAAGGACCTCCTCCTTTTGGGACTTCTTGTCTTCTCCCTAGGCCCTGTAGAACACCCATCACCT